GGAGGCTTGCAGGTGAAGATGTGATACATGATGGCCATTCTTGGCTGAGCTAAGATGGGAGATGGGGAGTCCTGAAATTGAGCGCTCAGAGTCAGGAGCAGCAGGGTTAGGGCAGACCGAGAGATCAGCCTGGAGCTCTAGCTCAAACCTGTCTAACACAGATCCAGGGTGGTCTCTGGTGAGGGCTTCCGGGGTGAAAAGAGGAAAACAGTCCCAAGAGCTCTCGGGGGACAAAGGGTGAAGTCGGAGCTGCTGGAAACTGCACAGGTGTTCCCAGCAAGGGCGGCAATTATTCTGTCAGAAAGTCGGGATGGGCCTGAGGAGGGCATGTTGGGGGGGTGGCATCCTAACTTTGCCCTGCAAGATGGGCAAGCTCATACATACATTTGACCCAGGGCTCTGTGCCCTCCCCACCTAGGAGCTCAGCAAACCCTGAACACACTGAGAAGCCATCAGCGCTTTCTTTGTTGAGAAAAAAAGAAATTAAGGAAATGCGTCCTTGCTCAGGTCAGAACGTCACGTAAACCAAGAAGAACACAGCTGGAAGGTGCAAGTTGTCTTCAAAATCATCTTGCTTTTTAATGAATTTTATGCCATGGATTTTTCACATTTGCTTTTTCTGAAAATTCTATTCTGAATATATTCTCTCCCTTAAGCCACGCCCACCTCTGCCTCTCCTTCTGTTTTACCTGATTACTCAAAGAGTACCCCTGGGGACACATACGACAACCCAAAACCCAGAAACCACAACTATGATCGCAGACAACTGTTTCTAGAAACTCGGGAATCTTCGTGGGCAGTGCAGATGGTCTGGTTGATAACGGCAAGGCCAGGGTCCTTTTTGGATCCCTAGAACCCAAGTAAAAAAGATGCCTGAAACTCCAGCCCTGGGAAGGTGGAGTCAGGAGAATGAGTGGGGCTCCCGGGCCACTGAGTCCAGCTAAGGTGGTGAGATCCAGGCTCAGCAAGAGACCCAGCTTCAAATAAAAACGGGGACTAAGAAAATCACCCAGATCACCCAGGATGGACTCGCCCCAGTTCCCACCCCTCTCTCTCTCTCTCTCTCTCTCTCTCTCTCTCTCTCTCTCTCTCTCTCTCTCTCTCACACACACACACACACCCTTCGCAAGCTTCCCGGGAGGGCCGCTTGCACCAGCGAGATATGCAGGGGTGCCAATGCCCTTCCATTTCAAGGACTTCAACAAAAGGGCCCCTGTGTTCTCAGAACCAGAGATAGACCAAGATACTATCAGGCACGGAAAGGGCTGAGGCGTCGGCCTCACTCCCTCATCTCCATACTCCTTGGCCTGGGAGAACACCCAGCATATTGTTACCTTTTCAACTTTAAATCCACGGTGTTTAAAGGGATTATACCCATGTCTGGGTAAACTGGACCGATTGAGTTTAAAAAGAAAAACATAAAGGTGGTGTTTATGTTCAAATGTCAAACCCTGTATGAGCAGATCTGGTGTCCTTTTCCACCCATGAACGACATTCCCCGCTGTAATTAATTTATCCATGTTCCCATCAGCCCTGCATTACTCCCCAGACAAACAGCACTGGCGGGGAGAGGCTGAGGGGGTGGGGACTCTGCTATTTCTTTTGGAAAAACTTTCTTAACTGGGTATGTGTTCTTTTCACAACGCTATAACGATTATGGTGGCTTGGCAAGGGCAGCCAAGGGTCTAAAGTCGGCTGTGCACGGTCCTCCAAGGGTGCTTCCGACTCGCAGATGTGCCCTCGCAGCGCCCTGGGCAGGGGCGCTTGACATTCAAGAGGGTCCAGCGGGTGGGCTGGGCAATGCTCACCACGTTTCACAGTTAAGGTGATTGGAAAACGAACAACAAAACCAGCCCTTTTCCGAGCTCAGTGATGTCAGCTGTGGCTGCCCCGGGGGATCTGTGACCCCCTGCCGCTTTAATGAAAGGTGTTGCTGGCACCTGCGAATTGGAAGCAGGAGGACCCACAGCCACAGAGGTTTGCTGCTGCTGCTGTTTTTCATCTTGCTTTGTTTCATCCACATTCCCGAGAGCTATCTGGGAAAGGTTTGTGACTAAGTCTTTCTGAGGTGATACAACTGACCAGCCCAAAGGTGCTTAGAGCCCAACAAATGGGAAATGAGCTCTCAGGTGTGAGAGAGGAGGGAACCGCCAGGCTGGCCAGGGTTTTGCAGCCAGTGGGCCCCAGGAGGTTTGGACCGACCACGGCTGAGCCAGGGGGGTCATGGCAAGGTGAGCCTGCTGAGATCCACTGTTGGAGGGAGGGACTGGGCTGGAGGTCTGTGTGGAGCAGCTAGAATTGTGTCTAGAGGGGCGGGCTCGACTTACCAGATGCGGCCTTGACAGATTCCTTGAGCTTGAGAGTAGAAACCAGACATCTAGATGTTTCCATTTTTAATTAAAAAAAATTAAATGAGAAGCAAACAAACCAACCTAGACCGACAGGCTCAGAGCTGGCTCGTGACACCCTGCTGTGGGGCTGAGGTCTGAACCTGACCAGGGCTCCATGTGGGGGAGGGTCCTAAGAGTGTGGATTGAAAAGCTAGGGAGGCAGAATCCCTGAGGGAGGGGGCAGGTCTGTATGGGGAAGAGACTGTGTTGAGAATGAGGGGCTTCCCCAGAGGGTCTGCATGGGGGAGAGGCTGTGTGGAGAATGGGGGGCTCCCCTTCTGCTGCCTCAACGGCTCAGCTAGAGGAAAGCTGTGATGGGGACCAGGGCTGGTGACCAGTGGGGCCTGTGGAGCCCAGAAGGCAGTGGACAGTTTCTTTCTAAGCCAGGGCGCTCTCCCAGGAGTCATCAGGGGAGGGCCAAGAGACCAGCGTGGGTGAAGGATGCCTCTTATGAGCAGGACTCTCCACAGAGGAACCCTGGGGGGAAACTGAGGCAGACCTCCTATATCTACGGTGGAGGACTGTAGTCAAGAGGAGGGTCACCAGAGAAGACAGGAGGGTCACCAGAGAGGACAGGAGGGCCAGGCCAGGCCTGTGGGATGATGGAGGAGAGATGATGATAGCCCAGAGGCTTGCTTCCATCTTTCAGAGGATTCAGAATGGGCCCTGAGTCCCTCCCCCGACCCGGTCTTGGTCGGTCGTGGTGAGGAGGCACTGGTGTCCTCAGCTGTGTTCCGCCGTGTCGAGCATGAGGAAAGCTTGGTGGTTGGCGGGGCGTTCCCCGCAGAAGACCCAGAGTTCTCAGGGAGATAACGACAGCTGCCCCCCCAGAGGCGGCAGGAATCATGGGACAGAAAGGTCCCGGGTAACGTCATGGCACTGGTCTGTGCCAGGATTCCACTTCTGCATACAGGCATGCGCCTGCGTATGGACGCCAGCGGACAACCTGCAGGCCTGGCCCCAGACGCTGGGGGACACCCTCCTGCAGTGGTGGCTCCAGGTGCTGCCATTTGTTTTTAAACAGTCTCTCACTGACCTGGAGTAAGCTGTCTGACCCCAGGGATCCTCCTGCCTCTGCCTCCCCCGCCCCAGGATTACAAGGGCACATCCCCCCCCACACACACACACACATGCACATGCCTTCTTTTAAAGCTTGCATTCTGGGGGAGGGGCACACACAGGATTCCATGCACACAAGGCACGCAGTTTACTTACTGGGCCTGTGGTTTGGGCCTTAAATGTTCCGCAGGGGCTTTGAGTGGTACCGGCGTGACCCTCAGCTTGGTGCTATTGACATGAGGCTCAAAACAAAACAAAGCAAAAACAGGTGGAGCCTCGTGGGACACCTTTGAGACATTAGTGAACCCCTCTGCAAGGGACAGGGGCATCCTAGCCCCTTCTCCGTCTTGTGATCCCGGCAGCTGGTTGGGTCTGATCTGGGTCTGAAAGGGCCGCACATAAATTCTTGGTAGGATAAACATGCTACTTCCAGCTTCTGCCATTTCTCCCCACCCGTTGGGACACCTGGCTTTGGAAAGGCGGGCACAAAGGGCGGGCAGAAAGATGCCACACGCACACAGCACGGAGGAGAGAGACCCAGGAGTCTGCAGACCAAGTGTGTGGAGTCCCCCCCCCCTCTGGAGTATGTATACGGTTGAAGGTGTGAGTATTCCCACAGCGGACGATGATGGTGTTAGACGGTAACCGTGGCGACGATGCTGACACGAGGTGGTGTCTCTCTGTAGAGTTCAGGGCCTGTGTTTTCCACGGAACACTCCAGCACAAAGACACTTTTGTGTTGAGCCAGCTGTGGTAGTGTGTGACTCTAATCTTAGCGCTTCGCAGGTGGGTCTCTGTGACTCTGAGGCCAGCCTGATCTACGCAGGGTGCCAGGATGGGCAGATCCCACAGTGAGGCTCTGTCTCAACCAACAAGCAAAAGCCACATTGCAACCAACCCACTTGTAAACATTTGGCTGGTGACGTCATATGGTGCTCCTCTCGTATCATCCGCGCCATTAATTTCATTATTTTCTGGTTCCAGGCGTCAAGATTTTCATTATTGCACGTAAAACTGTAAAGAGCCTTTACCTCCTTAAGACCTCCCTAAACCCAGATCCTCTCTCCCTGGAATAGATTTCTCGGAATAAAATTGCGTGTCAAAAGCCTGAGGCATCCTAGAGCTTGACAGAGTGGCCCAGGGTGTGGAGTCTACCACAGGACAGCTCCCTGGCTGCCTTGTCAACAGGAGGATTGCCCTGGGGTGCTGCAGGTAGACCCCCTGTGGGACGGCCTCACTTGCATTGTTCCCCGGAACGCATGGAGGCTGTGGTCCTTAGAAGAGACCAGATGAGGAAGGACCACAGACCCTTGACTGTGGCTGTCTTCCAGCTGTAGATCAGTGTCCTGCCGCCGCTATGGCATCCAGCAGCCTGGCCGGGCCCTTCCGGCTCCCCCGCTCCCTGCTCCCCCGCTGCCTCCTGCGGACTCGCACCGGTCTAGCTGGTGGGCACAAGGCTATGAAACTGACCCGGAAGTTCTCTGAGCTGCTTCAGGGCTTGCTCCCGCTGGGACAGGAGGGCAGTTCATACTGGCCCGCCCACCCGCCGGCCGGACGAGGTTTGCAGTTGGTGCCAGGGCTGGGGTGCCTCCAGCAACTGACTGCCCACAGCAGAGCCCGCCCTGCACTCTGCACCAGGACCAAGCATCCAGTGAGCAGATACTCAAGGCAGCCCTGCCGGGTAGCTGCACGGCCACGGGGGCCCGGCGGGATATTCAGGGAAAGGAATCTGGAGAGGTTTGGGGCCTCCTCTGAGTGACTATGTTTGGAGCTGCTTAAGGGGGGTGTTTGTCCAGTGCTGCCCGGGTCTGTCTTGTTGATTCTCCTACAGACTATCTGCAGCCCTGAGCCCACCTGCCTGCCGGATTCAAGTGCTCCCCGCCTTTGGCGCTGCGTGCAGGCTGCAGGGTGGGCTGGGTGACCTCGGGGACCTGGGCTGGCGGGAGTAGTGCATAGGCGGAGCAGGGCTGGGTTCTGAGAGGCTCCACCCGCCCCAAGCCGCACTGCACGGAGCGCCTAGGGCTCGAGATCCCAGCCTCAGCCGGTGCCAAGAACTGGAACTCCGCTGGACACCGGGCTCCCTCGGCTTCCAGAAGCGGGTAAGTCTGGGGCTCCTGCCTCTGAGACAGATGCCCTCCTGGGACCAAGAATCTGTCTTGGCCTACAGATGCCCCTCACACTGGGGCCACAATTCCACCCCTAAGTCAAACCCCTGTCAGCCTGTCTTCACTCACAGGAAGGTCATAAGAAAACATTTTTCTTGTGTTATTAACTCATAGGCATTCGGAGAAAATTTGGAAAATGCCTAAAAGCATCATAAGAAAATTAACCTCCTTCCCATTCCTCAGGCTCAGAGACCCCTGCACCCCAGCTCAGCAATGCTTGAAGGCACAGTAGACCACGAGGAGATTGATTTTATTTTTATCACTTACTTGATTATTGAATTGTGTTGATCAGGGAGGCTCCTGGGGTTTGGCCTTTTTCCCACGAGGAAGGCGTAGACATGGAGAACATGGTTGATATCTGATCATGATTGCAGGAATGAGGGAAGGGAAACTTCTAGAGGAAATCTAGGTGACAGCCTAATCCCTCACCCCTTTCCATTGAGGTCAAGAGGGCTCGTTGGGTCATCCGGTGCGCCCACCCAGGGCTGTCCCGGTGTCTGCACTGATGGCTCACTTCAGCACAACAAGTCCTGCCCACATCCACGGAGGAAGGCTGACTGACTGCCCTCTGTGATCAGAGAGATGCTGACTTCACTGGCGCTGCTTGAATTCTTGGGGGTGATGGGAATTTCAGGCAGTCTTGGCTGGGCCCAAAACTTCTGCCTCCCTTGTCTGTTTGGCTTTACCAGCAGGTGAGGAAGGTGCCCCAAATTCCCAAGGAAACAGCCCAGCTGTCTCCCTCCCTCCCCCCAGGGCTTGCCTGTGATAGTGGACTGGGAATGAATCCCAGAGAGAAAAGCATGGAGGACCTCAGAGAGAGTCACACGTGTGGTCTATATCCCTCTGGGGTGAGCAGACTCCTGTGTGGTCTCTTTCTGGGGGCTGGGAGGAACTGGGAGGTATACATGCACTCATGTACGCATGCCTGCTTCTGGTGAACGGTTACCGCATTCCCACCAGATGCAGCCTCTGCTCCAGATGTTTCAGACAGAATGAAAAACTGCGTGTGCACACACGCGCGCGCACACACACATACACACACATGCACACACACACACACACACACACACACACACACACACACACAAGATCCCTGCTCTATAAGTTTACCTTTTGGTGGGAAAGATAAACATTTAACAGTGAACACAATGATTAAGGAAACTATACCATACTATGATAGTATTCAGTCAATACTATGGAAAACTAAACAAAGGAATGTAGGGTAAGCGTTACCAAGAGTGGGACAAAAGTATATTATCTTAATAATTATTAGTAGCCTTAAATTTCTTTTAGAGATAAGGTGAGTTTCAAATCCCCATGTATAACAATATAGGCATTAAAAATTACATCATGCAAAAGATTTGTAAAAATAAAAAACAGTATAAATTTTAACAGGAAAACATTCTGCATTGCCGGGGCTTCCCTGTAATAATCTCACAGACCACTACCAGAATGCAATGTACTTACTCCCTCTCACTGCAGTGGTATCGAATCTAACTCACAGCAATTCCTTCTTGAAATAATCTAACTTCTGGGGCTCGGGACAGAGGCAGGTAATAGTGTATAAGCTTGAGAGGCTCCTGGAAGGAGAAGCCCAGACATGCTGGCAAACTTCTCCAATTGTGGGAGAGGGGCTGGCACCGTGGGGGGGGCAGACACGGAGAGCCGGGTGGGGTTTTCACAGTTGCCATTCCGTCTAGCCTTTGACCTGTACCCCACTACCGCAGTGATGTCATACACATGCGCCTGAAGAGGCCAGGGGCAGAGGTCACAGCAGAGTCATTCGATGCTGTCTACGACCCTGTGGTGTGTGCATCCAGACAGGGTAGAGTTAGTTCCCCATTCCAAGCTTTTAGATGGGGAAACTGAGGCTTCTTGGGTTTTGCTTAATTTCCTGAAAGTACAGTTCCTATCTCCCTCATTGTGAACGATTTCAGCTCTCATCAGCTCTTTAGCTAAAATTCTCACCCTCCTCCCTTGTTGAGTCTTCCCTGTCTGCATTTCCACTCCTCAGACCCCCAACCTCCGTCCGTGTCTGTCGCCCGTGGGGAGGTCCGGGGAAGCCAGGGGAGTAGAACCAGATTCAGAGGCTACAGCCTACGTGCCACCAGGAGGTGGCAGACAGCAGCTTCCCTGCCTGAGGACAGAAGTTCTGGGCCTCCACACTCTGTCCTAATTCCTTGAGAAGCCCGGTCTGCCTCAGTCCCCAAGGGAAGGATGGGAGACCAAGGCGACCCCAGCTGCTGCCTGTAGAGTCTGGAGCCTCTTGCTAAGGGAAAAATGTAGCCTATGTGTTTCCCAGAGTTTGGACATGGGGTTGAAATGAAGTCACAAGAAATAGACAGCTGCTGCCGGGCGGTGGTGGCACACGCCTTTAATCCCAGCACTCGGGAGGCAGAGGCAGGCGGATCTTTGTGAGTTCGAGACCAGCCTGGTCTATAAGAGCTAATTCCAGGACAGCCTCCAAAGCCACAGAGAAACTCTGCCTCGAAAAACCAAAAACCAAAAAAAAAAAAAAAAAAAAAATAGACAGCTGCTTCCAAGGACAACCGGTGTAAAATCCTAGGCCCAGCCAAGGTCATGGTTGCTCAAATCAGGGCTATCTAGAGTCCCTTTTGCTCTCAATCTGCTTCTTCATACACAAGGCCAAATACCTCTGTGACGCAGCCCCGCGTCTTGCTTGAGAAGCGTGCTTTCGAGGAAAAGCTCCAGGAATCTTGTCAGAACAAGAATGTACCCACTCCATTGAGATAGGGAGTGGCTGGGGAGGGCTCTTTGGTTCACCCAAACCTGAGGGGGGCAGGAAGCAGACCCAAGCTCTGGCCATGACCCCTGCCTTTCCTGGAACCTAAGCAGCTAGGAAAGCAAACCTCAGATCCCCAGGAGGTTGCCAGTGCTGGGAAAGCCTTTGTTCCAGAAGCTTCCAGACTGTTACCGGTTCTGATAGGTAACCTAGCAGGAGCAGGTGGGGCAGGGGCAGGAATGCAGAAGGGTTGCACTAGGGGCCACACAGGATCCACCCACAGCTGCGGTTCAGTTCTGCTCGGCTTCCCAGAGCCCCAGCCCTGCTTGGGCCTGCAGTTCTGGGTCTGAGCTTTCAAGGAAAAGAACACACTTGCGCTATTCTAACTGGGACCGTGCCCTTGCTTCAAGCCCAAGCGTCTGCAGACAGGGATAGAAGTCCCAGCCAGTGTGAGAATGTTCTACCCAGGTTGAACCCCAACTGGCTAAGTCCGAAGCTGGGTATTCCCAGGTCCTACTGTCGATGCCTCGACAGCCTGTACAGTGTCAGGGACTCAGTCCTCTCAGGGTGGAGCTGTCTGTGGAGAACTTAGAGGTGCCAATGTCTCATAGCTTAGGAAATGTTTAAGGGCAAAGCCAGTCCTCACACGAGAGACCCAACTGGACCTGAGAAGCTGCTGGTTCCCCAGTTCTTCGAGTCTAAGGTGTCCATCTCCTCTCTACAAGTTCTGGGAACTCTGCTCTCTGTACCGATAAAATAGGGGCTGGTAGCTGAAAGACTGAGTTTCAAGTGTTTCAATGGGAGGGATAAACCTTGGGTAACTCAAATCAGCACTGCACAGCTGTTTTCTGTAAATCGAAATCGTTGGACCAATTACTCTCAACACCCATTGGAGTCCAACATTCCTGATGCCAGGGTTACCGGGCTGTGGGTTCCCTGACACTGACGGGAGTGAACGTGGAGAATCTGACACAAGCCCCCAAATGACATCTGTGCCATCTCCGCCAACGGCATGCAGATGAGACCCTGTGCCATCTCAGCCAATGGCATGCAGATTAGGCCCTGTGCCATCTCTGCCAACGGCATACAGATTAGGCCCTGTGCCACCTCCGCCAATGGCATGCAGATTAGACCCTGTGCCATCTCTGCCAATGGCATGCAGATTAGGCCCTGTGCCACCTCCGCCAATGGCATGCAGATTAGACCCTGTGCCATCTCTGCCAATGGCATGCAGATGAGGCCCTGTGCCATCTCCGCCAACGGCATACAGATTAGGCCCTGTGCCACCTCCGCCAATGGCATGCAGATTAGACCCTGTGCCATCTCCGCCAGGATTGTCTTGAGGCCGCTGATGAACTCACTTGGAGTCTCAGTATATGAAGTACCACAGTGAACTGCCCCCAGGCTTTGTGGGGGTACGGGGGACACAGCAAAGGCAAGGCAAAGCAATGCATTCGTGTAAAGCACTGTAGAGTCGTTATTTGAAAGGCAGGGGCTTACGCGGGCTTTTCTGGCCTGGCATAAAGCTAGTCACAGGGTACGGTGTCAGGGTGAGTTGGCGCGTGCCTAGTGAGGAGGATACTTTGTGCGGAAGCATACAAGACCAGGGAGACCTGGAAAGCAAGGAAGATTTGACCATGGAGCCATGCTTCCATCTCAGGCAGTCAATTCTGCCAGGTGCTCTGCAGAAAACACCGGTCCGTTTCCAAGTTCCCACCGCACAGCCCCGATGCCTCAGACCTGACTGTCAGCATCAGTCAGGAGTACAGAGCTCTGTTTGTGACAAAAAGCACCCGGGCTCAGTAACACAGGGAACCCATTTCCAGCTGGGCATGAGCTCGTTGGTAGAGTGCTTTATTCATACGTATGATGCCCTGGGTTCAATCCTCGATGGGCATAACCTAGGAGTAGCGACATAATGGCCCCCCCGTCAGCACTGGGGAAGAGGAGGCATGACCCTTCAAGGTCGTCCTTGGCATGTGGTAAGCTCAAGGCCAGTGTGGACTACATGAGACTCTCTTGGAAGACAAATCCCTTCTTCCCGTCTCAGAAGTGAAAGGCCACGATGACACCTGACCAGAGCCTCCTTCTATCCGTGCTGTCCCATAGCACGGAAGGGGGAAGGAAGGGAGCGGGTTAACAGCTCAGAACGCACCCCAACTGCCATTTAAAGACCATTTCTCAGCACTGTCTCCCTGAGAATTCTTTCCAGGGCCCGATCTGATGACACATTCACACTACCATGGGAAGCTTTTTAAAAGTCCAGTGTCAGGCAGGAACCCAGAGATGCACCGTTAACATCTCCCAGGTGGGACCCAGGTGTCATTATTTTCTGAGGGCTCCACAGGACTTCTCAAAGTTAGTGGCCCGGTGCCCAGAGCTACAGCGAGAGCTCCCAGAGCTCTGATGGCACCTGGCGGGCAAAAATTCCCAGTCCCACCTGAGTTTTAGGAGACAGAAATCCTGTAGGGGGAGCCTGGCAATCCAAAATTCACCAGGTGCTTCTCAGGCATGCTAAACTCCAGCCTCAGAAGGAGTATGGGCCCCGAGGGATTTCAAACAGATGTTTGGGGCTGTTTCTTCTGGTCATGGTAATTTCCATCTGGTTTTAAGAAACAAGTCTTTTCAGAAAAAAAAAAACCGCAAGTATATATTAAACAGAATTGACTCTGAAATTAGTTTCCTGGGTGGAGTTACTGATTCTAAATCAATTAACATTTGGGTCCCCAGTGCCTCCTGCCATCACCCACATAGACACTGGTCTGTAAGAACTCCCTGATGGTAATTGGTAGCAGGGTTGTGTGGTCACTCTGGGATTTTGGAAATAAAGTTATGCTGTCAGCTCGATGCCTGCTCTCCTCTTAAGGGAGAGGCTGGAGAATCCCTAAATGGCTTCAACTGTTTAGGAAGAAATGACTGAGCTTTGAGTTTCACTCTGTTTCTAGATGACTCCCGCCTGTCCCTGTGGTCAGAATGGGGCTATGTTTTTTTTCCCCCTTTGTTGGGGAATTGGTAGCTTGGTATCCTTCCGCCCTTCCCACCCCTAACAGGCCTCTGCACATACTGTAATGGCTATCAATCAGGAGAATGGGCTTTGTTTCTCATTCAAGGCAGCTCTCTCCAGAAAGTGTGGGAGAGCGCCACAGTGGTCAACCACGGTAAAATGAAGCCAATAACCTAAAGCCACAAATTCTCAGAGTGCAGATTCTAAGTGAGGCAGAAAACCCAGCGACCTCGTCACGTCAGTCACGTTCTACGACCGTGACGAGCACTAAGAAAACAATCTGGAAGGACTTGCCTTGTCTCACACTCTCAGAGAGTTCAGTACTCCGTTGCTTGGCTCTGCCGGTTCTGGGCTGTGGGGAGGCAGAGGGCACACAGTAAAACAGATCTGCTCGCCCTGTTGCAGCCAGGAAGCAGCAAGCAGTATCAGGAGAGGGCCAAGGGGAATGCAGACCCTTTGAAGACAACACAACGACCCATGTTTGCTAACTCAGCCTCGGCTCTGCAGGTCTACTGCCTCCTGTTAGTCTATCCAGACTCTGAACCCATTATGGATTTAAACATTGATTAGGTCAAAGCCTGCATGATCTAATCATCTCTGGAAAGGTCCTCACAGACACGCCCAGAGGTGCACATCACCAGTATCCCAGGTGTCTCTCAATCCGGTCAATGACAGTCAAGATCAACCATCCACATCCATACTCAGGACCACTAAATATCAACCCAGCCTGCCACATTCCTTGCCTGACCAGTGATGCAACGGCTTGAAAACAGTGCTGAGTCATTCTGGTTTACAAAGAGGAACAGACACAACAAAGGACTGAGGAACATTCCTAGAACCCTGTGTCCATGGAGTTATGGAGCCAGGATCCAAAGCTGGAGGCGGAAGACCAAACTCTGGAGCACCAGGTCCTCAGGCTAGAGTGCTGGTGAACTCGGCACGCAGCTCGCGGGCCGCCATGTTGTCGGGTAGGCCTTCACCTCAGTGAATACAACTGCCCTTAGAGAGACATCCACGGTGGAACAGACCCTCCTCCTCCATTCTCTCTCCAGATCTGAGCACCGTGCCTGTGTAGTTTACGAGGACTATTGCTCGGTTTGGGTCATGGTTCTGAAGATGTCCAACAGGGTGGTGTGGTCATGTGTTTACTATCTGGTAAACACCTTGTACTGCGCCACAACACGGCAGGGGGTATCACGTAGCTAGACAGGGCAAGTTCACCATGGATAACCCATTATATCTACGGATAAAGTCAAGGATAATAAAGCCACTCCCTCAATAACAAATTCATCTATAAATAGATTCAGTATCCTTAGGATACAATTACTTCCCAGTGGTCTTGTTGCTCAACACGGTTACACTGGGAGCCCAGTTTCCAACAGTGTGGCCTTGGGAAGATACGTTCACACTGTAGTAACCACACACTGCGTATTCCACACAGAGCCTCAGTCCGAGTAGCTACATAAACCATTGTAGTTACTTTTCTGTTGCTGTGACAAACACCAGGACCAAAAGTGACTTATGGAAGAGTTTCTTTAGACTTACAGTTGCAGAGTCCATATGGTGGGGGGCGTCGGCAGCAGACAGCCAGGGCAGGAAACCGAGAGATCACATCTTCATCTGCAACCAAGAAAGCACATAGAGTGACTTAGAAGTGGGCGGGACTATAAGTCCTCAAGCCCCTCCCCAAGCGTTGTGCTTCCTCTGAGACGCCTTTACCTCCTAAAAGTTCTACAACTTCCCACAAGTTCCAAGCCCAGGGCTGAGCGCTCAAATACATGAGCCTATGGGGGAGATTCCCACTCATCACCACAAGTCCCGGGAACTAGTGTGGGAAGGTATAATTTATGAGGTTTGCTGTCTCCCTTTTGCTTATTATTTATTCAGTATTTTTGAGACAGGGTCTCACTATCCCTGGCTGGCCTGGAACTCATTCTGTAGACCCAAACTCATAGGCATCCTCCTGCCTCCGCTTCCCACGTGTATTTTTATTTTTTAAGTGTTTAAAAAGGCACATTTGTTGATGTATTTGCTTTGTGTATGTGTGTGTGCGTGTGTTGGGAGGAGAGAGGTCAGTTTGCAGGGGTCAGTTCTCTCCTCCTTCCTCCCTGCGGGTCCCAGGGATGGGACTCGGGTCACCAGGCCTGGCTTTAACCCGCACTTTCACCCAGTGAGCTGTTTCGCCGGGCTATCCGCCTTGTTTATGGAGTGGCCGCCGTAGCGTCCATCACTGGGGGCAGAGAAATGAGCGTCTGACACGGACATGGGTCGACTGTAAACAAGTGCACACGTGCACACGTGCACACGTACACAGCATCTGAACGGGCCAGAAGGATAGTAATGAGGGAAAGAGACCCAACGAGACCCACGACCCCACACCATTTACGACACACAGCACACCTATACGCAGTAACGTGCTGATCAAACTCATCCCAGTGGCCACCTACCAGAGAGGGTGTGAGCAAACGACAGTGAATCAAGTTGTCAGTTGATTGACCAAGAGAGGTCAACGAGGCTCCCGATGGCATGTACCACAGAAGCATGGTTGTTCTCTCCCACCGTATACACCATGGGAGGATGCTTGTCCACTCCCCAATGGTCTACACCATGGAAAGGTGTTTGTTCACTTTCTGATGGTCTACACCATGGGCGGATGCTTGGCCACTCCCTGACGGTCTACACCATGGGAGGATGCTTGTCCACTCCCTGATGGTCTACACCATGGGCGGATGCTTGTCCACTCCCTGACGGTCTACACCATGGGAGGGTGCTTGTCCACTTTCTGATGGTCTACACCATGGGCAGATGCTTGTCCACTCCCTGATGGTGTATACCATGGAAGAATGTTTGTTCACTCTCTGATAGTCTACACCATGGGAGGATGCTTGTCCACTCCCCGATGGTCTACACCATGGGAGGATGCGTGTCCACTCCCCGTCACCTAAGACTCAGAACTGTGAGCATGGGTGGGAGGTGGCCAGTTCACACTATATGATTTCAGGTTGCATTTTCCTTTCAGGACTTTTGCTGTACATCTGGGGAAAAGCTGGGAGCCCAGGATGATCCTGTCCAACTCCACAACTGTGATGCCCTTCCTGGCCACGCTGTGGCGGGAGACGGCCGAACAGGGCGGCGATGCATGGGGCCTGGCTCGCAGGTCTCAGCCCCGGGATGACAGCAGGCTGGAAGCGCTCTACATCCTCATGGTGCTGGGCTTCTTCAGCTTCTTCACCCTGGGCATCATGCTGAGTTACATCCGATCTAAGAAGCTGGAGCACTCCCAGGATCCATTCAACGTGTACATCGAGTCGGACGCCTGGCAGAAGAAAGACAGGGCATTCTTCCAGGCCCGCGTTCTGGAGAGCTGCAGGGCTTGCTATGTCATTGAAAACCAGGTGGCTGTAGAACAGCCTGCCACACACCTTCCCGAACTGAAGCCTTTGTCGTGAACCCCACAGCTCGTTAAGAATAGACAAGCCCTGCATGCGACAATCTGGTCCTTCCAGTCACAGGCCTGTCATTGTCTTTATTGTAGGGGTGCCACGGGAGTTTTTGCTATTGAAGGATTGAGGGGTGAATTCATAATACAAGTTTTCTAAAAACATGTTTCTTCTATAGTAGATGATCAGTTAATTCTGCAGCACCTACCCTTGTCTTTTAAAATCGAGCAGAGTCCCCAACAATTTGGCCTCTGAGAATGTAAGCCCAGTTTTCCCCCAAATCTCTGGACATTAGCGGGTCACATGACTAAGTTCTGGCCAAAAGATATGGACATGATGAGCCCAGTTCGTAAGTAGCCTTTTTTTTTCTCTTCCTTTTTTTTTTTAAATTTAAGTTAGAAACAAGCTTGTTTCACATGTCAATCCCAGCTCCCTCTCCCTCCCCTCCTCCCCACCCCTCCTTATCAGACCCCTCACAGTCCCCCGCCCAATCTCCACTCTGATCCCCAGGGAGAGTGAGGCCCTCCATGGTGGATCTCCAGAGTCTGTCATCTCATCCAGGGCAGGGTCATAAGTAGCCTTTGAAAAGGGGAGGGTGTGCCCTCCCTTTCCTCGCCCCCCCCAAGGACATTGGTACACTTGAGGCAGCTCTGACAGAAACAGCAAGCCACTATTAGGTGGCGTAGATGATGCAGGACCTGTCACCCTCCTGCACTGCCCACCTGTCTGCCCTGCCCCTCCTGCAGCCGCTGCTCACTGTGGTCCCTCTTAAGTCAAAGAACCAGCAGCCAACACAGTGGCACCATGGTACTTGTCCCTTTGTTCACAACTGTGACTCTATCCTCCTGGCCTCCTGTCTCCCTCTCCTCCCTTATTACACAGCTTTCCTGCATTCCTTATCCAAGCACACCCACGTACACATGCATACCCCTCACCGTTCAACTCGGATAGAAATTGCTTCTTGTAGGAAAACGACCCCTTTAGAGTAATACCATGAGCAAGGCGTGGGGTTACCACGGGAGAGAAAGTGGCCATGGGCACAGGGGAAGGTGTGTGTGTGTGGGTACTGGCATGGGCCTGATGTAGCAAGGCCCCTGAGGTGACAGGCTTGACTTGCTGGACGAGTTCCCTTCCTAAAAGAACACATTGAGGTTCCAACCCCCAGCACTAGTGAATGTTGCCTTGTGTGGAAATAGGGTCTTTACCAACGATGGCGTTTCATTGAGAGACTGAAGCGGGTCCTACTTGTAAGATGGCCACTGGCACCCACGAGGAGAACCACGAGATGCCAGAGACAGAGATCGGAGGGATGAAGATGAAGGCCAAGGAGAGCTGGAGATGGATGGCGGCTGGACTGGGGACAGAGACCAGGAGGAACTCTCCACGTCAGTCTTCAAGGACACGAGGCCCTCCCAAGCCTTCCTTCCAGACTCCCGCCTTGAGGACGCAGGACAATGCCCGCCTGTTGCTTGGTAGAATTTGACAAAGCAGTCTAGCTAGCTAATGCAGTATCTGCTGCCCCTCCCACCTCCAACCTGAAGGAACCACGGGAGTGGAGTGGAGGGGCGGCACCAGAGTGGCTTTCACAGCAGACAGACAGACATCTCAGGCCATCTGCCCCCTGAGAGTGTGGGGAGCCGGCATTGCCCCCTGAGAGCGTGGGGGAGCCGGCGTTGCCCCCTGAGAGCGTGGGGGAGCCGGCGTTGCCCCCTGAGAGCATGGGGGAGCTGGCGCTCTGAGGGCCAGCCTTCCCCGGCTGCCACCTGAGATGCAAGGAGCTTTTTGTACCAGACACCCTGAGAGCTCACCGCCTGGTTCTCCTGGAGAGCACGAAACCCTGCTGTCAGACATGAGCTTCGGAAAACTGAACAGGGGCTGGTGAGACAGAGGTGATCTGAGTTTGATCCCCAGAACCCATGGTGGACGGGAAGGACAGGCCCCAGAAAGGTGTCCTCTGACCTCCACATATGCACAGACAGACAGACAGACAGACAGACAGACACACAGTGATACACAAATAAAACAATAATAAAGCTTTAGGGCTGGAGAGATGGCTCAGAGGTTAAGAGCACTGGCTGCTCTTCCAGAGGTCCTGAGTTCAATTCCCAGCAACCACATGGTGGCTCACAACCATCTGTAATGAGATCTGGCGCCCTCTGCTGGCCTGCAGGGATACATGGAGGCAGGATGTTGTAAGCATATTAAATAAATCTTTAAAAAATGAAACAATAATAAAGTTTTAAACACACAATCTAATAAAAATCACCCCCCTGTGCGGCACTGACTGTCTTCCAGGAGACACATTTGGCTCAGTCTGGTTCCATGACCACAGCTCTCATGTCCCACAGATCAGTGAATCCCATGTTGGGGGTGGGGTGGGGTGGACATTTCCACGTCAGATCCCTGACATGGATTTGCCTCTGAATCGCTTCTGTCCTAGAATAATTATTGGTGTCCCAGAGCCCTCTGAATCCAATGAATGCCCCGTTCGTCCCCACCCCAAGATGCTCACGGACACTATCCCTGCTGTCCTCAGAGTTCATGCGCCCCTAGGACAGCTGTGGCCGCTGAATCCACAGCCAAACTCTGCTCCAAACGGATTCCTGTTGCCCAGACTGGAGGGATGGCCTGGAGAGGGACCCAGAGTGCTTGTGACTAGCTTGTGACACAGTGACCTTGATATTCCTGGCGTACAGACCTCCTGTCACCAGCTCCTTTTTCCACAGGGATTCCTGTGCCTTTTAAGGCAGGGAGATCCCTAGGCCTTCGAGCTTATCTGCCCTTGGAGGACCAGGCCTCACAATCCCTCACTCCCCAACTGCAGACTCCTTATCTCCCCCTCTTCTGGTCCCTTCATTTAAAAGGCAGAAGGGGAGAGGCAAGTGAGAACTGAACTGCGCCTTGAAATGCTACCTGCCTGTCATGCCGCAGTGTCTGACTGCACACGCACAGAGGGCTGTCATGCTGTAACTTCTGACTGTGCATGGGCACACACACGCGCGCACACACACACACACACAGAGCTGTCATGCTGTAACTTCTGACTGTGCATGCGCGCGCGCGCACACACACACACACACACACACACACACAGAGGGCTGTCATGCTGTAACTTCTGACACTGCACACACACACACACAGGGGACTGTCATGCTGTAACTTCTGACTGTGCATGCACACACACGCGCACGCGCACACACACACAGAGGGCTGTCATGCTATAACTTCTGACACTGCACACACACACACAGGGGACTGTCATGCTGTAACTCCTGGTTGCACACACACAGGACTGTCATGCTGTAACTTCTGACACTGCACACACACACACACACACAGGGGACTGTCATGCTATTGCGCAGGGGCCACTCTCAGCTCTTCATAGGTTCTCAGTCGATATTTTGCACACACTGCATGTTAGGACAGTGCCTTTTGCTGTGTTGACATTTTTAAATTAAAGCTTTTAAAACATGATCTTGTATGCTTTTTTGAAAAACCAGATTTATCTGCTCTAGTTTTGCGACTGTTCACTTGCATATGTGTAAGTGTACTTGGTGCCTGTGGAGATCAGGAGAGGGTGTTGGATCCCCCGGAGTTATGGATGGGTGCTGGGAACTGAACCCAGGTACCCTGCTGAGGAATCCACGTTCAATGCTAGGCCTCTCTCCATGCCCCAGGGATGCTGTGTTCTCATCACTGTGGTAACTTCTGGAAGAGGAACCAGTATCTGGGGGCTTCACAGCAACCCCAGCAGCCGCGGAATGAGGAGGACGGGACTGCCGGGGGGGGGGGGGAGTCAGTTATTAAGGCACAGTGTGTCAGGGTGGAGAATCATCAGCCCCTCTGATCAAAAGTGAGGGAGCAAAGTCCCAGAGGGACACCAGTCACCCGTGGAGCACAGTGCCCTCCTATGCTGGTTGGTACTTTTGTCAATGTGACACAAGCGAGGGAAGAGATCTTCAATAGAGAGAATGCCCCCGCCAGGCTGATCTGTAGGCAAGCTGCAGAGCATTTCTTTTTTCTCTTTCTTTTCCGAAACAGGGTTTCTCTGTAGCTTTGGAACCTGTCCTGGCACTGGCTCTGCAGACCAGGCTGGCCTCGAACTCACAGAGATCCGCCTGCCTCTGCCTCCCGAGTGCTGGGATTAAAGGCGTGCGCCACCAACGCCCGGCTAGGGCATTTTCTTGATTGATGATTAATGTGGGAGGGTCCAGGTCACTGTGGGCAGTGTCATTACAGGGGGCGGGTGTTCTGTGCTGTAGACTAAAGCAGGCTGAGCAAGCCATGGGGAGCAAGACAGTAAGCAGCGCCCCTCTGTGGCCTCTGTGTCAGCTCCTGCCTCCAGGTTCCTCCCCACTTAAGTTCCTTTGGTTTTGGTCTTTATCACAGCTGAGAAACCAAACCAAGACACCTTGGAAAGGGGCTGGGTGTTAACACTTGGTGTCTGCTGTCAGTGGGGAACACAGGCAGAATAAAGATGGATTCTGGTTTCTGTAAGAGAAGTTTCCTGACTTTTACATGTCAGCACTAAGTTCGATTGCCATTACTTTATTTTATTCGTGTACATGTGTGAGTCTGTGTATGTGAGTCTGCATGTGTGTGTGTGTATGTGTGTGCCAGTCTCTGTGTGAGTCTGTGTGTGTTTATGTGTGTGAGTGTGTGTGCATGTGTCTGTGTAAGAGTCTGTGTCTGTGTGTGTCTGTACATGTCTGTGTGCCAGTCTTTCTGTGAGTCTACGTGTGTGTGAGTCTGTGTGTGTGAGAGTGTGTGAGTGTGTGTGTCTGTGTAAGAGTCTGTGTCTGTGTGTGTCTGTACATGTCTGTGTGCCAGTCTTTCTGTGAGTCTGTGTGTGTGAGTCTGTGTGTGAGAGTGTGTGAGTGTGTTGGTGCATATGGAGATCAGGGTCAATGTCAAGTGTCTTCCCCAATCACTATTCCATCTTATTTTCTTCTAAGCTGAAGACTTTTTATTGGTGTGTGTGTGTGTGTCTGTGTAAGAGTCTGTGTCTATGTGTGTCTGTACGTGTCTGTGTGCCAGTGTCTATGTGAGTCTACGTGTGTGTGAGTCTGTGTGTGTATGTGTGTGAATGTGTGTGTCTGTGTAAGAGTCTGTATCTGTGTGTGTCTGTACGTGTCTGTGTGCCAGTCTCTCTGTGAGTCTGTGT